TTTTTCGTCCCTTCACTGCACATCACCCCCATTTTCGCCCGTTCGGTTAAGATCATGACACGTTTGGCGAAAACCGTTCGGCCGGCGGCCTGCAACGACTCCTCGTTGGACGGTAAGGAGTGGGAGAAATTGGGGTTCCGCGCTGTCACGCAGTCTGATGCTTGGAACGATTATCGTCTCTAATGGAACAGAGTATAATACTTAATTATTAATACTCAATACAATGCAAAAAATGTCAGGTGTGATCCACCTCGTGGCATTATTACCCTCGAAGCAGTGTTGCCAGACTTTCAAACTAACATTATCGTAAAGTACTTAAATAATTATCGTTTTTCAAAAAAAAAAATCGTACAAACGAAAATATTTTTGCTCGCTACGCTCGCATACTGTGGACAATCAGCTATCAGCAACCACAGTTGTCCAACAAATGATAAGAGAGCGGTACTTGATAACACTCCGAAGCAACAAACTAATAGCCAGCATCTATCATAGCCTAGCTATCTTAGTACCTCTGACCCTTCATGTACAAGTACAACAAAAATAATATTATTATCGAATATCTATGTACGCTAGACGCTCGTTCACTGATCTGAAGAATAGTATCTCTAAACCTTTTTTTTTTTTTTGAAGTTATACTTCTTTACGCACGGTAGTGAGGAAAAAAAAAAGCGAACGGGTGGCGTGTACAAACGGGCGGCGCGTACGAACGGGCGGCCGTACGAACGCGAAAGCGTACATGTCCGTAAATAAATAAATATTGTCATGGTAATGTTGTTTTATTATATATTATAATAAATATATATATATATAATATTTATATATATATATATATATTACAATAAATATATATATATATATCTGTATATATAAAACAGTAAGCTTGATTGACTGCTATCAACGCACAGCTCAAACCATTGGACGGATCTGGCTGAAATTTGGCATACAGATAGCTATTATAATGTAGACGTGCGCTAAGAAAGAATTTTTCGAAATTCGCATTTTAAATAGGTGCTCAAACAGGGACATTGAGATTCAAGATGGAAATTGGAAATTTTATTTTTATTTATTAATAGTTGCCATTGGTTACAGTCTACATTAGAAATTAGCATTTATTTATTGGTTGCCATTGGTTATTCGAGCAGATCAGGTACAAGCTTGCATCAAATCAAATTATTGAACATTGCTTACCAGGGTGGCTGAGCTGCACTTACCCCAGCAAGTTACACCCAAAAGGAGTTCAACAATCATAATTTTTTTAAGAGTTGTAATTTTTTTCGAGCAACCAAATTTTTTTTTAATATTTTTTATTTTTATTATTATTATTAGTATTCACTCACAAATCTATTGTCTGGATAAAAACAATACTACAAACAATTATCCATCGATCTGTCAAATAAAAATATAAAAAAAATAATAAAACTATCAATAATAAATAATTCCGGATACTTCTTCTCATGTTTTAAATTAATTAATATTTTTTCTTTCTTTTTCACTCACTCACGTGTACCATTCAAAAGAAGTTTAACTTCCCGCGCGCGTACTGGTAACACACATGGTTTTTTTTTTAAAGAAACTAAAACACTTATAACGATCTTCTTTTTATTTAATTATAATTTCAAACTTATTTTGCAAAAAGTTTTCAAATAATAATAGTTTAAATATCTATATAATAATAATAAAATAAAATGGCTTTCTCATAAAGTATTCAATATTTAAAAACAATACTTATTAGTTAAGAATTGTTGTTTTACCTTGAATGAACATATCACAGGTATAACAGTAAAAGCATAAGTATATAAGTATAAAGTATAACAATTTAAGTATTTAATTACAATCTCAAACTTATTTAGCGAAAAGTTTTCAAACAAAAATAGTTTAATATCTATATAATAATAATAAAATAAAATAGCTTTCTCACAAAGTATTCAATATTTTAAAACAAAAATATAATAAAATAATATATAAGTATAAAGTATATTTTATACAGGGTGTCTAAATAAGTCTGTATAAGTTACTATTTAAATTTTTAAAATATGTTCTAAGAATATAAACACTAAACAGTAGTTCCATTGGATACCTATAAACACTTAGTTATGAAACAAAGATGAGTTGATTTCTTCAGTTTCAGTATCATCATTTTCATTTGGGTATAAGGTCTTAGATTAATTAATTTAAGTTGGTCATCAGTCCCATGTACAGTTTGAATAGGGAACGCCGCTTCTATACTCTGTTCAGGTTAAGATAGAAACCGCGTCGCTCATGCAAACTGAGTCGCCAGACAGTGCCTGACCCCCATGCGATGGGTATGCGTTCTGTGATTGGCCAACAGTCATTGCCAGCCGTCGTCGAACGTCGGATCTGGTGCTGCTCCCATCGGTGTCCAGAATTTTGGTGAAGCAAGCGGTGCAAACTAATCTGAACAGAGTATATATTACTCTATAATTAACCGACCAAACGCATAGTGTGATCCAAGCCTTAGTTATGATATAAATATTTTTTTTTAATTACCTAGTTGTTGACAAATATAATTATTATACTAAATTGGTAAGCATGTTTTTTTTTAATAATCCAATTGTCTTTTTTAGCTTTAACAATTAACTCGATACAATTTAATACATTTAAAGATTATAACGTTTTACCTTTAAAAGGGCATTTAATTTCTATCAACTTAATAGGAATATTGTTAAATTATCTAAAATAACTCCATCAGGTGAATAACCTAACCATCTTGCTTTATTTGAAGTTATAAAGCCACACTGCATTACTACTTTGTCAGTTTTATTTTAATATAACTCCCTTGCAACTGGTTCATACTGAGACCCATGTCTTACAAATTTGTTGCTGAACATATTTGGCCAGAATTATGTAACAGCTTGCTGACTCCGTTCTTGATCACTTTTAGGTCGCTGATTGACGTTCGTGAAGTTGCCCCCCCCCCCCACATGATCCCACAGACTTCAAACTGGTATCAAAATTTGGCAATTTTTATGCAATTTTTATGCAATTAATTGCATGTATCGCCAAAAAATTTGCAATTCATCGTGAGGCCTGTAAATCCGAAAATACTTATGGGGGGTATGAGTTCACGCCAAATCAAGGCCCCCCACACAGATGATCCGAAACAAGCACCGTTAGTCAGCGGGTGAATAGCAAATAGTAGTTAATCTATTATTGAAGTTGTCGACTGCAAACATTTTTTTTCCCGAATTTTTTTATTCAAAAATTTCCCACTTAACCTATAATTGGTATAAAAATAATAATAAATGTTATTTTTTTTAAATATACTAGGTAACTACAACTGAAATTACCATAAGGTAGGCTACACAACCCCTAGGTCCCACTAACTTCAAACTGGTATCGATATTTGGCAATTTTTTTTGGACTAATTGCATGTCTCTCGAAAAAAATTGCAATTCGTTTAGCGGATAGTAAAACACGAAATGGCCAGTGGAGCGCAATTTCATGCAGTCTCTTCACGTGGTCATAAAAACTTCAAACTGCTTTAGCAATATTTTACATAATTATTAGTGCTGAGGACTTCTAGTACTTAAAAATCTAATGATATGCATGCACTTATCCACTTAAAAATCAAGAAATATGCACTTAAAATAAGCTCTAAAAAATTATTTTAGATTTTTTTACCAAATATAAAACTACTAATTTTCACTAAAGTGTCTTCATAAATGTCATTCACATAACCTTTACGAATTGTAGTTTGATTTGGTATTTCTTTCGAATTATATTTTCCAAAAATGACTCAAAATTATGATTATTTAATTTATTTAATGGAATGTTAGCCGATAACAAAGCATAACATATATAGATTAAAAGAAGACTTTTTTGTGTTACTTAAAAGTTGTTGTTGAGTTTTTTGTAAATCAATTTTATTTTTACTTTGTTTTAGTTTAATAGCTGCTTTATGTTTAGCTGTGTCAATGTGTTGTTGAACGTTGAATTTTCTGCCACTTTCAACTTTTGAATCGCACAATTTATTATACAATATTTTGCCGTCAGCTGTAAATACTGGACCACTACATTCACTAAATTCCGACACATAACTATTTAAACGAGAAGCCAATAATTGTTTTTTCTTTGGCATATTTAACAAAAATAAATAAATATTACTAAAAAAATTTGAAAGAGACGAAATAATTACTCGACGAAAATATTTCATGCAGTGTGCACAATAATACGAGTACGCGACGAAATATGACGGACAACTGAAGTTTATTACTTATGCGCATTTTGGTTTTATCGATTTTATTGGTATATTTTATCGGTCAGATAGTAAATTACCTAACCGATACTAAAAATATTATTTTGAAATGAAAAATTTACCACTTTGTTCTTTTTTGTCTTATCTAATTTAAGAACTTATTTCGAAAATTGCCAAATATGTTCTTAATTTTTCTAAGAAAAAACCAGAAGTTCTCAGCCCTAATAATTATATACCCATAAGCCATAATATTAAAACTAGGTTAACAATTTCAATTCATAAAAAAACTACATACAATCATGGATAGTAATATTACTGTTAAGTCGACTCTACACAGCGTTTGAAAAATCTAACAATGCCCATGAACATTTAAAATACTCAGTTTAATCCTATCCTACAGCCTTTGTTGGACAATATTGACTGAATTTCCTAATATTTTTTTTGCAACTTAGTATAATGTATATAACTTTTTGTAGTCGCCGATAAATTAATACCATGTCAGTACAATGGCCTAGTATGTTTAATCATTCTTCAATCAATTCTTCGAATATATGACATATAATGATCCGTTCCATATGCCAAAACTCCATAAAAAACATATCTATCACAGAATTAAAACCCATAAATATTAAATAAATAATTTTTTTAATTTAGTGATAAATTAATTGTTTACCTTGAATTTTCAATAAACAATGCCAATGGAAATTCATGAAGTGGGATATGTTGATTTTCAGCGAATACGTCAGTTTCAATAAATAAGTATGATTGAAAAATTCCTGTTCTATTACTGTTCCTGTACATTGATTTGATGGACATTCTCTATCTCTTTGGGAAATACATACAAGTTTAATGCATTATTTAAATCTTGCATATTGTTTTTTAATCGTACAATTATTGTGGGACTTGGTACATCTCTAGTAGATTGAGGACAATTGATATTGTTAGAACATACCATATGTTCAATTGCCGATGGAGCTGTTTTTAATAGTTTTGTGATAATAAATAATACGTTGCATCTAGCATCAATAACTCTAACGTTATTAATACTTTCTTGTTCGTCAAAAATGCCTAGTATTTTCAAGCGGGTCATATATGATATTTTGCTTGTTCCATTTAATGCCAAATGTTTGCAAAACTGTAAAAGCGTATTATCACTAACATCGACAAATGATTTATACTGAGGGTGATCTAAATATGCCATAGATAGTATGAAAGCAATAGATTCAAAAGAACAAAACATTTTTTTTAATTTTTTTTTTAAATTCTTTTTGAATTTGTTTAATATCCATTTATTATACAAAAAATTAAATTAAACATAATCATTCATCGATATATAAAATCTCATTACCTTTATTGTCATAGATTAAATTTTTTATCAAGTCTATTGTTATGAAACCATATGTTTTTATTTTACTTTTTTTATCATATTTTTTACAATAAGTTCTATTAATTTCTTTAAATTTAGCTAAAGCTACATCTTCACTAATCAAATCGGACCATATTTTTTCAATATAATAATTTGATTGATTAAAAACAATTAAAACGTTCAAATTATTTCTTATTGTTTTTATATCTACTGAAGTATAACTTTGTGTTAAATAAATAACACTAATATTCTTTGATCTTGATCTTATAAAATATTCAATTATCATGTCTTGTTTTTCTTTTAGAAAATCATCAAAAATCACTAAACTATTTGGTTCACAATCATCTACAGATATTATTTCATCATTAGAAAAATGTGTGGTTATAGAAGCTATATCATCAAATATTTTTTTAATTTTTTTATAGACTGGTTGATCAATATTTTTTGTAAAAATATATAGATTTAAATAAGGAATCCAATAATTTATAATCAGATTATACAACAAGGTTGTTTTACCACAACCAGATGGTCCTATAATTAAAACACGTGAAGGTAATTCAAATAAAGATTTTTTTTATTTTCATCTTCAATAAAAAATTTTACTTTTACTTTATCCATTTATTAAAAAAAAAATATATATTTGGTAATATAAATAAGAAATGGAAAATATTTTAAATAAATATGATGATAATATAATAAATAGTCAATATGAAAGTTATATACCTCAAATTACAACAGAATTGAATAAACCAAACCGAAATACAATAGTTATAGTAGATGGTAAAGATAAATTTCTGAACATTAAAAATTCAAAACTTTATTTATCATTTGAATATGTACAAGAAGATGGTTCTAAATATCCAGCAAAATCTAATGTTATGATATCTGATAATGGTGGAGCATTTTTGTTTCAAAAAATTACAATTAAATTAAATAATAAAATTATAGATGAAAGTGATAATACTGGAAGATTAAGTACAGTAAAAGGTTATATGAGTTATGCTGTTGATGGAAATGGTCCTACACAAAATTCAGGATTTGAATCTACATCTCAAGGGGGAGGAAGTGTCGAGCTCATCATTCCTTTATCACACTTTGGTTTAGGATCAATGAAAGATATAAAAGGTCCTCTTTACAATGCTAGATTTGAAATAATTTTTACGAGAAACACTGATGATGATGCGTTGATTCTAGAAACAAACACTGAAGCTACAGCAGATACAAAAGATATTAAAGCAAAACGTGGTAAAATTAATATTTTAGAATTAAAAGTTCAAATGCAAAATATAGAATATGATGAAATAACAAAAATTCAAATAGTTGATGCATTAATTAAGAATCCATGTATTTTAGCTTTTAAAAAATGGCAAAATATTGAAGTAAGAAATCTTACTGGAAAAAAGATAAGATTTGATGTAACAAATAATTATCGAAATAATAGACATCCATTGTTTGGTGTTGTTTATTTACAAAAAAACAGATTAGACAATCAAGAAAGTAATGCTTGTTATTTTGATCATTGTGATGTTGTAAATTATTCTTTTGAAGTAAATGGAAAAAAATATCCTAATGAATTACAAAATCAAGATTTTAATGATATAAAATGTTGTCAATCATATGAAGATCATATGAGTTATAAAAAAACCTATTATAAATCACATGAAGAAAATCCATTAATGTATTTAGATAAATTACAATTTAGACAAAAGAGACCATTTTTTGTTGTTAACATGACTAGACACCCTAATCAAATTGCAATCTCCAACTGTACAGTAATTTTAAACTTAGATTTCAGTCAAAATTTACCTGATAAAACAATTTGTTATATTTGTTTAATTTCTAGTGCAGTGTATACGTTTGATATTGAAAGAGGAATAGTTGATGAAAGCTATTAAATATATTAAAATTAATTAAAAAATCGTTCCCTACTTTAATTTTTCAAGATATTTTATCTTGAAAAAAAGTTTTTAATATTTATTTTTTTATTAGATCAAGAACACCAATAAATTCTTCATCAAAATTAACAATATTACCTTTTAAATCTAAAATATAAATTTCTATTTTTTGAAACCGATTTTTACTAACTGGTCTATATATCATTTTATGAGGTTTAATCAAAGCACTATTAGAATTATATTGAAATAAAAATAAAACTTCATCATAATGAGATACCGCATCAATATTATGTGTAATAGATTCTTCAATTATATTACAATGTACTTCTAATATTTTGTTGTTATTATTTAATGATGAATTTTCTCCATGATGTGTATGTATCCCTCCTAAACTTAAATTTAAATCTTTATCAAATGAAAAATAATCTTTTGTTGTTATTTTAATGTAATCACCATTATTTTCAAACTTCATATTCGAATTGAATAAACTATTTAAATGTTCAATTGAATAATTTCCTTTTAATTCTGTTTTACTATTTTCATTAGAAATAATACCATTTATTTCTTTTAAGAAACCTTGAGTGTAAAATATTGGAGTTTTTATTCCTATTACCGTATAAGCAATATCTGGTGTTGTATACTCAACACCTAATTCTATTTCTTTCCCTTTAGGCCATGTTTTATTAATAGGGATCAGATGATTTATAAAATTAAAACCTAAACAATTTGATAAATATTCATCAAAACACAGACCAACTGAAGCAGTTATTTTTAATAAATTTTTATTTATTTCAAAATTTATTTTAGGAAAATTTTCCACAAATTTAGTTCCGAATGAATTAAATAAATTTTCAATTTCACCTATTGAATAAATACCAATAAATATTGTACCTAGTGGGATTTGACCATTTCGACCTAATCTAAATTCACATTCTTTTTCAATATTTATGTAATATTCACCATCAATAGGATAGTACATTTTTTTCTCACTTGTCGAAAAATCTATATTATCATTAAAACCTAAATATTTTTTTAATTTTTCATCTAATTTATAATAACAAGGAGATTTAATTGTAATTCTATTAGTTTCATCAGAAAATGATATAATAAGTGGTTCTATTTCTTTGTTCAATTGTTCAATACTATATCTACCTGTTTTTATATGTATTATATTCTGTTTAATTGTTATACAACAGTCTGATTCAATATTAATAAAATCGTTGCCTTTCAAAACTATTGAATAGAGAGCTAAAAAATGATCACCATCATCATTGTGAATAGGTTTGTTTAAATCAATACGACCCTTTTTAACTTTTATAAATACCATTTATAAAAGTAAATTTATTTTTTACTTAAAAAAAATTAAAATCATGTCTTGTTTTCCCATTCTTTAAAAATGTTTCACCATTATAAATAAGATTAAATTTTGTTTCCGAATTTGTATTATAACATGTTATTTCCTTTTCTGTAAATTTATTTGTATATCTATCTGGTAAATTTAACATATATTCATCGTTTAATACAACTGATAATCTTTTTCCAAACTTTGTATCAATCTTTATGAACTTATTTACTTTGTATGGTTTACCTTGTTCCAAATAATTACATTTTATAAATGTATATCCATTGTTTATTTTATTTAAAGCATCTTTAAAGTTTTCCATTTCTATTTCTTATTTATATTAGAAAATAAAAATTTTTTTTATTTTCAATAATTTTTTTAAAAATTTTTTCATTATAAATATAAAAAATGAGCGAAACTATATATTGTCTTAAATGTAAAATTCAAACAAAAAATATTAATGCAACTAAAATTCAAACAGTTAATGGTAGATGGAGAATTTCATCAAAATGTTTTATCTGTAACACAAATAAAAGTAAATTTATAAAAAATTCTACAATTGGACATAATATTTCCAATAAAAAATTAAATGATACAGATAAAATGAGATTAGCTAAAGAACTTCATAAACCAGTTAGAAAAAAATTTCCTAAACGAAGAATTTTTACTAAAGGTATTGATGATTTATGGGCTGCTGATTTAGTTATAATGAGAAATTATTCTGATGAAAATGAGGGTTATTCTTATATATTAACTGTTATAGATACATTTTCAAAATTTTCTTGGGCTTTAGAACTCAAAAAGAAAGATGGAATTAGTGTTTCAGAAGCATTTCAAAAAATAATAAAACAAGCTATATCACAAAATCATCAAGCACCAAATTTACTTCACACAGATAAAGGTTTGGAATTTGAAAATAAACATTTTAAAAAAGTTTTGCAAGAATATGGAATTAAAATGTATCACACCCAAAATGAAGAAAAATCGTCAATTATTGAAAGATTTAATAGGACATTAAACAAGAAAATGAGATTACAATTTGAAGTTACAAATTCAAAAAAATGGATTAAAATTTTACAAAGTTTAATATATAAATATAATTTCGAAGACATACATCGATCTATTGGTATGAGACCTTGTGAAGTAAATAAATCTAACGAAGATGTTGTTTTTCACAAAATATTTTCTACAAAAGACAAAACTAAACCAAAAATTAAATTTAGTGTAGGTGATAGAGTAAGAATAACAGCTTATAAAAAAACATTTGATAATAAATTTAATAAAAATTGGACTGATGAAATATTTATAGTTAATGAAATTTTAAACACAATTCCTATTACCTATAAAATTATAGATTTAAACAATAAAGAGATTATAGGGAGTTTTTATAACGAAGAGTTACAAAAATCAGAATTTTAATAATATGACCTAAGTTAAAGGAAGTGATATCTATATAAACCTGCTTCTGAAATAAATATTTCTTTGTCTTTGTTATAATTGCGAGGAGATGAGAGGTGGAGTATTCCGGATACTCCACTTCTTTCTTTCTTATATTTATTTGGAATATTATTTTTTATAAAATCTTTAATATTATTTAAATAGAATTTTAAATAAAAATTATTTTTATTAAAAATTGA